TGTCCGTTTAGGCCTTTGCCTTTAATTTTCAGCCTGGAGAAGAGTCTCTCTTTGGAGTCACATAAAAAACAGCTGCCAACCATTTCCTTGTTTCAGGATGACGAGCTTGAAATGGTAAGCATGTTAATCGGTAGTATAATTGCCCGTTTCTTGAACTACTTTAAGCCGATCCCTTTGAAAGGGCTAGATAATTGGGTAACTTTAAAAGAGATACAACATTTCTTTTATTGCTGTTATAATAAGGCTCACTGGAGTGAGGCCTTCGGAGTGGTATGTTTTTGAACTTTGCCTTTTGATGAATACAGGTAAGAATGATTTTTAATGCTAAGTCGCTTAGTCATGTCCGACAACTTGGGACTTCATGGACTGTAACCCACCAGACTCTGTCCATGGGATTTCCCAGGCAAGAATACTGGAGTGGATTGCCATTTCCTTCTCATTTTCTTGACCCAGAGACCGAACCCATGTCTCTTGCATTGGCAGGTGGATTCTTTATCCACCGAACCATTGGGAAAGCTTCATTAATGGGCTTTTCCTGATGGCTCAGTGGTAGAGAATCCGCCTGCCAATGCAGGAGACAAAGGTTTGATCTTTGGGTTGGGAAGATCTTCAGGAGTGGGAAATGGCAGCCCACTGCCTGGGAAATCCCATGGACAGAGGAAGAAGCCTGGCGGGCTACAGTCCATGGGGTTGGAGAGAGTCAGACACAACTTAGCGACTGAACAGTAACAGCAAACCTGAGAGTTGTGTTGGTGGTTGGGGGGGGTGGGTGGAGAAACCAGAGACAACATTTGACCTTTTTTTTTTTAAAAGAAGTTTATTATGTAGTTATTTTTGACTGTGCTGGGCCCTCATTGCTGTGAGTGGGCTTTTTCTCTAGTTGCAGCAAGTGGGGGCTACTCTCGAATTGTGGTGCTCGGGCTCCCCTTGTTGCAGAGCACAGACCTCGGTATTTGTAGCACGTGGGCTCGGTAGCTGCGGCTCCTGGGCTCTAGAGCACAGGCTCAGTAGTTGTGGCGCACGGACTTAGTTGCTCCACAGCATGTGGTATCTTCCCAGATCAGGGATCGAACCTGTGTCTCCTGCATTGGCAGGCGGATGCTTTACCAGAGTCGCTAGGGAAGTCACTTTGGGGCCTTATTGATAGGCTTTCAGATAAAAACAGCGCACGCCCTGCATTCTAGAGGACCACCCAGTCATCTTTATGACAAGCGTATTACTAAGGAGCACGGTCCTTTTCGGGCAGTTTATTGGGATGGGCTGTATCAGGGGATGGCATTCCACTCCAGTACTCTTGCCTGGAAAATCCCATGGATGGAGGAGCCTGGTAGGCTACAGTCCACGGGGTTGTGAAGAGTCGACCATGACTGAGCGACTTCACTTTCACTTTTCACTTTCATGCATTGGAGAAGGAAATGGCAGCCCACTCCAGTGTTCTTGCCTGGAGAATCCCAGGGATGGGGGAGCCTGGTGGGCTGCCGTCTGTGGGGTCGCACAGAGTCAGACTGAAGAGACTTAGCAGCAGCAGCAGTGTATCAGGGGACCCTCAGATGGAGGGGTGGAAACCACGCAGCTGGCTTCTCTCTGAGGTGGTCATCTGTAGCTGATAGCAGAACCAGAAGGTCACTTTGGTGGAAAAGGCGGGCTGAACTCATTCACTCGGCAAACTTCTCACTGGCCAGAATGCAGTGGCATGAGCACATCCAACTTTTAGGATGGTCCAGAAATGTTTATTTTGGGTAACCAGTTCCTCCTCCCTGCAGACAAAGCAGAAAATGGAGATTTGGTGGGGGAGGGGGTCTCTGGTGCATACTCATTTCTCCCTGTGTGCAGGTTCTGGCACTGTCTGTCCACTGCAGAGTCTCCTGTGATGATCAGGTCATGAGTCTGGGTTCCCAGCCGTGCAGTACCATTGTCACCCCTATATAAACCTGCCTTAATAGCCCCAAGTTCAGTGATTGCTGAACTAAGTGGAGGATGTTTGAGTAGTAAGTAGTCATAGCTCCTATTCTGCTGACTCATAATTAAAGGAAAGTTGGTGCATGGACCCAGAGCCTTGTTATGTGTAAGAATTTAATAGATGGTAAAGACAGCCTGTTAAAAACCCAACGGGGTAGGAATGGATTATTAACTGCAGGGAATGGTCAGCTCAGAGCCGCACTTCACAAAACATTTGAACATAAACATATGGGAAATATGTTAAAAAACTAAATGTGAAACTTGAAATCCAGGGAAGTTAGACTTCTGGTATCTTACAGTTGGGGAGGACATTTTATGAATGTAATTTTTAAAAGACATGAAGTGAATCAATGGATCAGACTAAGTTGAAAAAGACAGCACGTTCCATACACGTATCAGAAGGTATCACTGAGGGGAGAATTAAGGGAAAATGTCTGCAAGGGTTTTGTGGGATAAGATACGCAGGGCTCTTAAAAATCCATTGAGAATACCAACAAAGTTAAAATGTGGGAAAGAGCTGAGGTGTCATGGGAGAATTGCAGATTACAATGCCCATAATAATGAAAAATAAAAAAATCAAAATAATGGCCAGCAGTGGGAGAGGGATAGCAAATGAATAACCTATTCATATTATAATAAAAATCACACAATCATTTTAAGTCATGTTTTCAGAGGAGTTTAATGATGTGGGGGAAATGCTTTTTAGGTGATGTTAAATGGAAATGAATTAAAATTCTAAATTCTATATGAAAAAAAAACCCACAGAGAAGTATCTGGAGGAGACTATAAATACAAAAGAGATTGTCCCTGGGTGTTAGAATTACAAGTGATTTTAATTTGTCCGTTTTTAATTTTGTTTTGCAAGACTTCTGCAGAAAGTGGAAAGGTTACCTTTTATGGAAAGAAAAAAAGTAAACATCGCAAAAAAGCAAATGGTGACATGTCATTTACCAAAATAAATAAATCTTGCAGCTCCCTGAGTAGACAAAGATGTGTTACTTGTCCTTACAGAACAGTGTGGATTTTGGGTATAAATGTTGTTGCTCTTGACTTCTATTTCAAATAATGGGTCTGGTTCATTAAAATTGAACTTATTTTACAGTCGCTGATTACCTTTTTACAGCATGTAGTTAGATGCAGACAGAGTTGAATCAATAGGAATCTTAAAAACTTGAGCCCTCCTTTAATAAGGGCATAGAAGCTACTGATATTTGACTAATTTACTAGTAGTTGGGTTCATAGACTTTTCCTTGCAGAAAAACTGCCTGATTACATTTCTGAGGTGGAATGATTTTTCTTTAATTTGTAGATGAATGAAAGAAGCCACAATCTTAGTGACATAACTTGGAGGCTAAGATTGCTTCTCTTTTGAAATTGTTTTGGTATAAAAACAGCACATTCACTAAAAACCTACTACTTTAAGAAGATTGCAGTGAAAGATTTTGGAATATTATGGTGAAACTGTTCGGTCTGCTTTTGAATTTCTTTAGGTTTTAAGATTCCTATGCTCTTTAAACTAGTTTGCTATGTATTAAAACTACTAAGAGAGGCAAGAATTGGTGCTGATTTAGGGCATATTCCAAACTCAAATATCATAAACTTCTGCTTACCTAGGCAGTGGTCTGGGTGTTCATTATGGCAGCTGCTAATCACATAGGGCTTTTAAATAGATACGCACGTGTGCTCATTTGCTAAGTCACATCAGACTCTTTGTGACCCCAAACCTGCCAGGCTGCTCTGTCCATGAGATTCTCCAGGTAAGAATACTGGAGTGGGTTGCCATTTTCTTCTCCAGATTTAAATAGGTATACAAAGGAATATTACTTAGCCATGAAAAAGAATGAAAACTTGGCATTTGAGCAACATGGTTGCACCTGGAAGGTATTATGCTTAGGGAAATATGTCAGACAGAGGAAGTCAAATACTGTATGTTATCACATATATGGAATCTAAAAAATATAACAAAGGAATATAATAAAACAGAAGCGGACTCACAGACACGGAGAACAGACTAGTGGTTATCAGTGGGGAGAGGGGATGGGGAAGGGACAGGGGGACGGACTTAAGAGATACAAAATACTAGGTAGTAATTTCTCAGTTTTTTTCTTTATCAGGTGATGCCCTACCACTCAGCATGTTCTTGTCTTCTATCTGTTTCCATTCAGTCTCTGTTTCCATTTCTGTCTGTCCGTTTATCTGGCATGCAGCTGCCCGAATGATTTTTCTGAAACAAACCCGATCATTTTGCTTCCTAGAAGGAAGCCCTGCAGTCCCCACTGCTGCCTGCAGAGTAAAGTGCAAGGATGGGGTCCCTCCTTTGGCAAACCAGCCCTGACTGGCTGACTCTTAGTAATGATAGCACCTGGGTATTTCACCGGCTATGAAGTACACAAACCAGATAGGTGTAGGATTCTGTGAGAACCGGCTGTAATTTTGCCTGTTTTCCCAGCAATTCTATCAGAATGCAAGTATGGAATCGCCATCTTATTAAGGAGAAGTGCCGTTGGTCAGAAAGCGTGTTATTGGCATGCAGTGATGTTTTATCTGGTTTTGGTAACGAATCACTTGTGAGACACCAGTTACCTTCCCTGTGTGTGGGGATGCTGAGGCCGGGGCACGGGTTGAGGGGTGGGTGCGGTTCTTTCTTCATAGCTTCCAGTGAGAGAGGAGGGAAAAGGTGGATTGTGGAGTCTCTTATTAATGCTGCCAAGGTAGATTTGGGGGTTGAAATGGCAGTTCTGTTGATTGATGAAAAATATGTCCATCTTAGTGGTGATGATGACCTGTAGCTGTGCTGTGACCTTGTGTGGGTATGTGGTCGTTAGTCTTCAGTCCTGCTATTTCCTGTTGCTAACATGATGTCTGTCACACCCTGCATGTTGTAATGAAATGGTGGTAGCTTTGATGGGGTATCATTAGTTTTGGAGAGTTCAGAAATTCATGGTTGTGATTATAGTGCCCTGACTTCTGCTGTTGTTGCTTTCCTTTAGGTAACTCTTCCTGCAGGATGCATTAAGAGCAGACGATCTCAGCCGTTAAGAATGGAGAGCACTGTGTCGGCTTCCAGTATGCAGGACCCTTCATCCTCACCCTTGGAAAAACATCAGAGCTCAGCTGATCGCAATGGAGATCTTGATTCAGGTGTGGTTTCGTTTCCTAAATGAGTTTGGCCCTTTGGCGTCTTGACTGGTATCTTCCTGAGAATGTTTAAAAACATTGGGGCAGTGTTCTGAAGCTTTACATACTGCTTGTTCTGAGATCTGCAGGGATATTTATAAGCATATAGCAGCTTGAAAGTTACGCAAAGTTGGGTTCAAAATACCAGACTGAGCAGGCTAGGTTATAATGAGGTGACATGCCACTTTAAAATCTCAATGGCTCTGTGATCCAGCAGTGCCCATCCTGGGTGTATATTTGGACAAAACTATAGATAAATGCACCCCACTGTTGGTGCAGCACTATTTACAGTAGTGAAGATTTGGAAGTAGCCTAAGTGTCCATCGACAGATTAACAGATTAAGAAGATGTGGTACCTAGATGCAACGGACTCTTAGCCACAAAAAGAATGAAATGCTGCCATTTGCAGCAACATGTATGAATCTAGAGATCGACTATCATACTAAGTGAAGTCAGTCAAAGACAAATATCATATCACTTACATGTGGAATTAAAAAATAGTGCAAATGAATTTACTTAAAAACAAAGGCACTCAAAGACATAGAAAACAAGCTTAAGTTTACCAACGAGGAAAGAGGGAGAGGGATAAATTAGGAGGCTGGGATTAACATATGCACACTACTGTATATAAAATAGATAAGCACCAACATCCTATTGTATATAGCACAGGGTACTCTACTTAATATTGTGTAGTAAACCATGATGGAAAAGAATCTGATAAAGTATATATATGTGTGTGTGTGTATGTGTGTATGTGTAACGGGGTCACTTTGCTCTACACCTGAAATGAACACAACATTGCAAATTAGCTGTGCTCCAATAGAAAATAAAACCTTAGTAGTTTAACACAGTAAGTGCTTATAAATTGGCCATATCGTTTGAGCAGGGCCAGTGGTGCTCTGTCCGATGAGTCCTCCCAACCTCTCTTTAGGGCTGTCATCTCTCCACGGTGCTCCGAGGTCTGTCCTCACAGAGGGTGAGCTGGGCTGGAGTGGCTTGAATCAGCGCTTAAATACTCGAGCGCAGAGGAGACCTTTGCTCCTAATCTCTTGACTAGAACTAGTTGCGAGTTTTGGCCGCTGCAAGGGAGGCGACCAAGTAGAATTGTCTCCCATGTGCCCAGAAAGAGAGGGCCAGGGCAATCTGCCTAGTTGTCGGATGCCCCTTCCCAAGACCCTTTCTTTCCTTCTTTATTTTTTTGGCTGTACCTGGAGGCTTAAAGGTTCCCCGATCAGGGGTTGAACCTGGAGCGTGGCAGTAAAAGTACCAAGTCCTAAAGAGCATAATGTGAAAGATATTTAGGTCCTGTGAATTTGTGCTAAAATATTTCTCCTTTTAAGAAATCCCAAACAAAGCAATGGACATCTCTGATTGAATTTTATATTTAACTAATGAATTTATACATGTGTCTTTTTTCTAACTGCTGACATAATAGTTTATTTTAAAAAGATAACTTTTTAAAGAAAGATAAGTTTTTAAAAATAAAGGTTTGTGATATTTACATAACATCAGCTTGTATAAGGACAGCTGAGCTCTGAATCATAAACATTTGCTCTGGAGAATTCATTAAAAAAATGACCGTTAACTTTTGGGAGATTTGACCTCCATCTGGAAAGTTACAAGGTGGGTCTTTGCATTTTAATGAGACCATGAGTCTTAATGTGGTTACTCTTGAGTGTTTGTGTAGTTGGGGGCCCCCCACCCTCACTCCCAGTTGCTGCACTTGCCTGCTTGATCCACCTTTTGCCATGAGAACTTCAGCTTCACACAGAGGACTCTCTGCCTCATAAACAGCTTTTTTATTTTTCATTTTGCCTCATTTTAAGGAAGGCTCGAATAGTAGTTGGGGCCCATGACACTCGAGTCCCCTTGATGAAATTGTTGTTCAGTCGCTAGGTTGTGTCTGACTCTTTGTGGCCCCGTGGGCTGCAGCACGCCAGGCTCCTCTGTCGTCACTCTCTCCCGGAGTTTGCTCAGATTCATGTCCGTTGAGTCGGTGGAGTCGGTGATGTTATCCAACCATCTCATCCTCTGCTGTCCCATCCTTCTTTTGCCTTAAGTCTTTCCCAGCATCAGGGTCTTTTCTAATGACTCACCTCTTTACATCAGGTGGCCGAAGTATTGGAGCTTCAGCTTCAGCAACAGTCCTTCCAAAGAATATTCAGGGTTGCCATGTAAAATTCCTCCTCCTCCCAGGGGCCCTGAGGCCACCCCCAGGATAAACCCAGTGGATGCACTGAGGCCTCCCCAGCAGACAGCCTGGGCAGCTCTAGTATGGGGCTCAGAGAAGGAAGTTGGGTCGGGATTGGATGCCTGGAACGCTCCGTTTCTTCAGTTGCAGTGACGAAAGCAGGCAAAACGGCATGCTGACAGAGATCCCTTGACATTCTTTTTTCAGACCAGTTCAGTGTAATTTGCTGGTGAAGCCTGCAGATAGAGTGGCATTGCACATTTAGATGGGGCAAGCCACTGAGGGAAGGAATTATGCTGGAAGTGTGGGCTTGATGTGTATGTTTTTTGTATTAGGGGTATACCAGCGTGAATAGTTGGACGCGACTTAGCGACTGAACGACAACAACCAGAGTTCCATGGGCTCTACTGTTTGGGAAGGAAAGGAATCAACATTCTTCATAGAAAATTCCAGATCTCTTACTCTTCCTGCTGGGGACTGGTTCAGTGTGACTCAATAATATTCCCCCTCCTCCCTTTTTAAGGTCTCTTTGAACAGTTGTTGCCTCCCTAGCTAGGAGAATCAGGTGTTTTTCTTTTCTTTTCTTTTTTTTTTTTATGGAAAGTCTCTCTGGCCTTCTCGGGGTCTGGAAAGCTGAGACAGCCTTGAGGACCTTGTGTTTTGTCCTCCCCCAGCCCAGGTGTACTCCGGCAGCCGTGAACTCAGACCTAGGATGGTGTTGGCTAGTCCTTGCTGAGTTCCATCCATACCTTGTGTCTGTTCAGTGTACTTACAGTGGTGGTTGTTCAGTGGCTAAGTTGTATCTGACTGTCTGTGACCCAGGGACTGCAGCACGTCAGGCTTCCCTGTCCTTCACCATCTCCTGGAGTTTTGCTCAAACTCATGCCCATTGAGTCGGTGAGGCCGTCCAACCATCTCATCCTCTGTCATCCCGTTTTCCTTTTGCCTTCAATCTTTCCCAACATCAGGGTCTTTTCTAGTGAGTTGGCTCATTGCAACAGTAGAGCTGTTTTCTAAACCTTGTGATCCTAGGAACTCTCAGCAGTTAGAATGATAAAGGTTGAATGTCTTCTGCCTTTCTCTTTCCACTGAAATATCTAGCACACAAAAAGGTGCCCTGTAAGATTTCATTTACTCTAAACCTGCTGGTTTTCTGTTCCTTGACTGGGTGCTGGAAATAAGTTTAATATTTCACTTGCAAAGGACTTCATTGGCAGCCCACTAGTTAAGACTCCGTGAAGGGGGCAAAGGTTCGATTTCTGGTTGGGCAACTAAGATTCCTTCATGCCCCCCCCCGCCAAAAAATTTTTTTTTCCTTGCAAAGTTAGTCTTATTTCAGATGGTAATATTCTACAACCCAACATCTGATCCCTTAAAAAAAGATGGGTGAGTCCTGTGTTGATTCCATTTTTCACTGTAAAGTTGTCTGCACGCCCACTTTTTCAGTAAAGTGTTCAGTATTCTTTTTCTAGTTAATAGGAATGATTCTGGTCACATATCCAGCATTCTGTATTCTAGAAGTGGATCACCACTAATAAACACTCCTTTCTTTTAAATTGTGAAATTTCCACAGTAGCTCGTCATAGTCTGTTTGCATTACATCATGGGAAATGCCTCCACCGGTTCTTGTGCAGAGAAGAGAGATTGTTGAGAGTTTCCTTGATAAAACATGGATGGGTTTAAGAGGTTCATGAGTCAGCTGTAAATATTTGCTGTGGGTTTATGAGACCTCCACTCATAAACATTGTGTGTTTATCTGTTGCTCTTTGAAATGTCTTTAGAGAATCAGCTCCTCAGGGCATAGGTGGCTAAGGAAGTGTCACTGCTACAGTTTCCAAGAGGCCGTCTTGTGGGTAATCTTCGACTTTGTGCATGATTTTATTGTTAAAACAGCATTGTTGTTCAGTCACTAAGTTGTGTTCAACTCTTTGTGACCCCATGAAGACCCAGAAGACCTTCTAAGACAGCATACTTAAGAGTTAACAGCACTGAAGTCTGGCTCTTCGGTGCTTTTTAAAGTATTTATTTAAAGATTTTTTGGGGGGGTGCGGACCATTTTTAAAGTCTTTCTTAAATTTGTTATCATACTGCTTCTGTTTTATGCTTTGATTTTTTTGGCCCCGAGGCATGCGGGATCTTAGCTTCCCGACCAGGGACCCAACCCGCACCCTCTGCGTTGGAAGGGCGGATTCTTAACCCCTGGACCTCCAGGGGAGTCCCTCAGAGATATGTTTAGATGATAGAGAGCACCTGTGCTTTCCCGAGCACCGATCTCACTGGTCAGTAGGGGCCCAATAATACCTTGTCTTTTCTTGATTGATGGGTGTGAATGCATGGGTGAGCACCAGAACTGCTGTGGCCTGTTTTAGTGGGAGAGGAGAGTGGAAATGTACCTTGTAATGAATTCACATTGGGCAGAAGCAGCCTTTTTGGTGACAGTTGAGATGAGACTTTTATGGAGGATCAGGAGTTCTGGGGAGTGGGTTCAGAGTTGAGCTTGAGATTTAAGCCATGGCTTTGGTCTCACCACCGTTTCCAGGGACCGGAACCATCAGGTCTCTGGTCCTGACGCGGGTTCCTTAGGGTCAGGCCCGGGCAGCACCAGAAGTGTCTGTACGTTAATCCCAACCTCCTAATTTGTGCTACCTTCCCCTTCTGTGTCCACATGTCCATTCTCTGTATCTCTGTCCCTGCCCTGCAGTTAAGTTCATCAGTACCGTTTTCCTAGATTCCACATATATGCCTTAATAGACAATATTTGTTTTTCTCTTTCTGACTTATTTCACTCTATGACAAATTCTAGGTCCATCTGCATCTCTACAAATAACCCCATTTCTCCCCTTTTATGGTTGAGTAATATTCGATTGTATCACATCTTCATCCATTGGTCTATTGATAAGCATTTGAGTGGCTCAGTGGTGAAGAGCCAATGCAGGAGCTTCAGGAGACTATTTGATCCCTGAGTAGGGAAGATCCTCTGGAGGAGGAGATGGCAACCCTCTCCAGGATTCTTGCTGGGAAATCCCATGGACAAAGGAGCCTGGCGGGCTGCAGTCCATGGGGTCGCAAAGAGTCAGACGTGACTGTGCATACATAGACGCACTCCTAGGTTGCTTCTATGTATCTCTCCAGTCCTCTGTTTCTGAAACCAGCAAATAGAAACTTTGAAAAAGAATTCATCAGTGGCCTTCTACATGTTGAATTTGTTCCTCTCTTGCACCAAAGAGTTTCTGATTTTCATGGAATGCCAGTGCCTTTCTATTCTTCATGTTAGTATTAATTTTCTGTTTTTTTTTTTTTTTTTGAGTTGGTTTTTGTTTTGGGTGTTTCTGTTAAAGTTTAAAAAATTTTAATTTTTTTTTTTTTTTTTTTTGGTCTTTCCACAGAAGAAGGCTCCAGTTTGGAGGAGACCGGGTTTAACTGGGGGGAGTACTTGGAAGAGACGGGAGCCAGTGCGGCCCCACATACCTCCTTCAAACATGTAAGTGATGGTGACTTCCCTTCTTCTGGTTTGCGTTTGGGGTGTTGGGGATGCCAAATGCGTTTTGCAAAAGGGAATGAAAAGGAAAGATAGATTTGGCCAAGATTTATCCCCTGGAGAAAGGAATGGCTACCCACTCCAGTATTCTTGCCTGGAGAATTCCATGGACGGAGGAGTTCATGGATTTGCAAAGAATAGGACACACCTGAGCGACTAACAGTTTCTTCGACATACAGCTGAGATGAGGAAGTGAGTGGGGGAGGTGAGCCTTGCTCTGGTCCTGCCCAGGGCAGGTGCTCACAGGTTTCAGCCTTGTTTTGCACCTCAAAAAGCCAGAGCAGAAGGCTGTGTTCCCTTCCGTCTAGGGGACGGAGACAGGTAAGGTTGATGTGAGCAAATAAAAGCAAACTAGGCAAGCAGGTGTTATGAGTCATGTCTTCTTAGGAGGCGTAATGACTGTGTATTTGAATTTTGTGTTGATAGTTTTACTTTGAAAGGACACCTGTAAAACCGTCTGGCCATTTGTGGACAGATGAGCCAAATTATAGGAAAGGCCAGAAGTATTCAGGAAACATTTGGATCAAACGAGAAAATCACCCTCATCAGTACTTTTTTTTGAACAATGCAAATAGTATGCCAAGCAGAGGGCAAGTCCTAGGAAATAAAAAAAATTAAGTTTTTAATCCAGTGTTTGCTTTGATAGGAGATTTTGGTGATACATCATTAGCAAGGAAAAAAGTAACTTTCTAGGACCCAGGTTCCTGGGTTTTACTCTTTGCTTTATTGGAAATGAAAATTTAATAATGAGAGACATTTCCTCCCCGACTCTTCCCATACTGGGCTTCCCAAGGCAGAGATTTAGCCATCATAAGCAAATCCGGGGACTGTCTCGACCTGGTCCTCCCTCTGGCTCTTTTGTTGAATTAGGAAAACACTTTCTTTTATTTTAATGCAACATTTTATTCTTTTTGGAGGTGAAGTGTTCTTTTGAAAAGGAGTTTAAGACCTTATTAAACTTGCATGACCTCGTTAAACGTGGATTGCATTCCTGATTCCTTTTTAACACTGACACTTAGATTGTTATAATTACTGGTTTATTATGAATGGGATTGTGGCCATTTTGTGAAACCAGCACTTTCAATATTAAACATAACAAATATCAAAACATAACAAATATTAAAACAAAACAAATATTAAAACAAAACAAAATATTAAAATACAAAATTTTAAAACATAATAAATATTAAGATAGAACAAATATTAAAACATAACAAAACTAAAACTCGCCTGGCATACCAAGTGGTTTCTGTTTTGCAAAAGCTGTTGTAACATGAGCCTTCTATGGTGCCAGGAGGATGTGGTAGATTTCTCCAGGCACTTTCTTTTTCTTTTTTTTTTTTTTCATTTATTTTCATTAGTTGGAGGCCAACCACTTTACAGTATTGTAGTGGTCTCCGTCATACATTGACGTGAATCAGCTATGAATTTACATGTATTCCCCATCCCGATTCCCCCTCCCACCTCCCTCTCCTCCCGATCCGTCTGGGTCTTCCCAGTGCACCAGGCCCGAGCACTTGTCTCATGCATCCAGCCTGGGCTGGTGATCTGTTTCACCCTAGATAATATACATGTTTCGATGCTGTTCTCTCAAAACATCCCACCCTCACCTTCTCCCACAGAGTCCAAAATTCTGTTTTATACATCAGTGTCTCTTTTTCTGTTTTGCATATAGGATTATCATTACCATCTTCTTAAATTCCATATGTATGTGTTAGTATACTGTAATGGACTTTATCTTTCTGGCTTACTTTACTCTGTATAATGGGCTCCAGTTTCATCCATCTCATTAGAACTGATTCAAATGAATTCTTTTTAATGGCTGAGTAATATTCCATGGTGAATATGTAGGCAAGGATATACAATGGAAATAAGACAACCTCTTTAACAAGTGGTGCTGGGAAAACTGGTCAACCACTTGTAAAAGAATGAAACTAGAACACTTTCTAACACCATATACAAAAATAAACTCAAAATGGATTAAAGATCTAAATGTAAGACCAGAAACTATAAAACTCCTAGAGGAGAACATAGGCAAAACACTCTTCGGCATAAATCACAGCAGGATCCTCTATGACCTACCTCCCAGAATATTGGAAATAAAAGCAAAAATAAACAAATGGGACCTAATTAAACTTAAAAGCTTTTGCACAACAAAGGAAACTATAAGCAAGGTGAAAAGACAGCCCTCAGATTGGGAGAAAATAATAGCAAACGAAACAACAGACAAAGGACTAATCTCAAAAATAATACAAGCAACTCCTGCAGCTCAATTCCAGAAAAATAAATGACCCAATCAAAAAATGGGCCAAAGAACTAAACAGACATTTCTCCAAAGAAGACATACAGATGGCTAACAAACACATGAAAAGATGCTCAACATCACTCATTATCAGAGAAATGCAAATCAAAACCACAATGAGGTACCATTACACGCCAGTCAGGATGGCTGCTATCTAAAAGTCTACAAGCAATAAATGCTGGAGAGGGTGTGGAGAAAAGGGAACCCTCTTACACTGTTGGTAGGAATGCAAACTAGTACAGCCGCTGTGGAGAACAGTGTGGAGATTTCTTAAAAAACTGGAAATAGAACTGCCATATGACCCAGCAATCCCACTTCTGGACATACACACCGAGGAAACCAGATCTGAAAGAGACACGGGCACCCCAATGTTCATCGCAGCACTGTTTATAATAGCCAGGACAGGGAAGCAACCTAGATGCCCATCAGCAGACGAATGGATAAGGAAGCTGTGGTACATATACTCCAGGCACTTTAGAAATGAGGTAGGACTTCCCTGGAAGCTCAGTGGTAAAGAAACTGCCTGCCAATGCAGAAGATGTGGGTTCTACCCCTGGGTTGGGAAGATCCCCGGGAGAAGGAAATGGCAACCCATTCCAGGATTCTTGCCGAGGAATCCCCTGGACAGACGAGCCTGGTGGGGTCCAGTCCATGGGATCACCAAGAGTCGGACATGCATTAGCAACTAAATGACAATTGATCGACAACTTTTTCCTTCCTTTCTGCACTGGGAAGTCACCAGTATCTCTCTGTATGAAGTCAGAGCTGTTCCCTTTCACGCAGTCTGTTCCTCTCCCTCCCTTTCAGTCGTGGTGCAGTATCCTGTACTGCAGAGGACCCGTGGGTGAACAGTTTATGATCCCATCATCTCTTTGCGCAGCGGATATTCAGGGACATCAGATGCGCTAGCTCTAGAATATTGTAGCTTGCAAGGCTGGAAAGCTTTCTTCTGTGGGGAGGGCTGGCAAATAGTCATAGACGCATGTGTGTGTGCTGAGTTGCTTCAGTTGTGTTCAGCTTGATGCGACCTAATGGACTGCAGCCTGCCAGGCCCTTCTGTCCATGGGATTCTCCAGGCAAGAATACTGGAGTGGGCTGCCATCTAGAGGATCTTCCCAATCCAGGGATTGAACTCTTGTCTCTTAAGTCTCCTGCATTGGCAGGTGGGTTCTTTACCACTAGCATCACCTGGGAAGCCCATTCATAGATGATAACCCTTAATTAAATAAAAAAAAAGAAAAAACATTTTCTGAGGCTGCACTCTTCCCATAGTGGCCATGTGCCATCTAGCTCTTGGAAAGTGTGTCGTCCAAGTTGAGATTGAAAGTGAGCAGGACCTTCCTGGGGACAGACCCCCATGTCCCTACCTCCAAAGCTTTATCCTCCTAAGGTCTTCTCTGAGTTTCAAAGAGCAGATTTAATCAGAGAAGTAAGAAAAATGCAGGAAAAAGGGAAAGCCGTCAAGCAAGACAAAATAATAGTTGTTTAGTTGCCAAGTCATGTCTGACTCTTGCGACCTCATGGACTGTAGCCTGCTAGATTCTGCTGTCCATGGGATTTCCATCTAGGAATCCTGGAGTGGGTAGCCATTTCCTCCTCCAGAGGGTCTTCCCAACCCAAGGATCCAACCCATGTCGTCTGCGTTTGCAAGTAGATTCTTTACCACTGAGCCACCAGGGAAGCCCCAGATAATAATGGTTTAGCCATAAAACAAAGTCAGGGACCCTTAATTCCTCCTCATGGGCTACAGATAATATCCTGAGCATGATCCTTGAGTAGTTTTGTGGATACCGAACCCCCCACCAGCTAGAAGAGGTTAACTGCATGGCAATCAGCAGCATGTAGACCCCAGACATGAAGGAACCAGAAAGTTGACGATTGAGTTTTTCAACACGTCACCCCTGTTACCTCACCACCAACCAGTCAGAGAATTGTGCACTAGCAGATTTCACACCTTGTGACCCACACCCCTAACGTTGCCTTTAAAAACTCAGGGAGTTTGGGTCTTTTGAGCATGAGCTGCCCATTCTCCTTGCTTGGCCCTGCAGTAAACGCTGTACTTTCCTTCACCACAGCCCAGTCTGTCGATCAACTTTACTGCACTTCTTATTAACAGACCCAAGTTCTGTTTAGTAATAGGATGTACCGTTAAGTGTAGAATGCACACCAGATTTCAGAGGCTTCCTTGGAAAATTAGAATGTAAACTTTCTCATTACTATTTTTTTTATGTTGATTACATTTTGAAATGATGCTACTTGGGATCCTTTGGGTTGAATAAAATACATTATTGAAATTAATTTCATCTGTTTTATCTGTTTTTCAAGTGGCTACTAGGAAATTTAATGACTCACCAGTGGCTCACGTTATATTTCTCTTAGACGGTGATGATCTCAGGAAACAAATATTAAAAGTGTTGTTTTTAATCGTTCTTGTTCTGGATGTTATGTGTCTAGTGTGTGATGGATTTCTTGTGTTTTTGGTTCTTTAAGGTTGAGATCAGCATTCAGAGCAACTTCCAGCCGGGGATGAAGCTGGAGGTGGCCAACAAGAAGAACCCGGACACGTACTGGGTGGCCACGGTCATCACCACCTGCGGGCAGCTGCTGCTGCTGCGTTACTGTGGTTATGGGGAGGACCGCCGGGCTGACTTCTGGTGTGATGTGGTGATCGCAGACCTGCACCCCGTGGGGTGGTGCACGCAGAACAACAAGACCCTCATGCCCCCGGACGGTGAGCGTGGGCTGGCCCAGCTCTCTGGTATCACTTGTGATGCTCAGAGAGAAACCTTGTAGCAATTTGATAACTGTGATTTCCTAGGAAGGTCCACCGTTTTCATGATCTCTTCTTGAGTGGCCTCAGCCTCAGGGTGCTGAAGTAAGGGGGAACTGGGTGCATTTTCAAGAGTTGGAGCTGAACCTGATGGCTGAACCCACCATGGCCTTTTACAGCGTTTGAGCTTAATCAATCCTTGTGTGGGTCTTTGGAGGTAGGAAAAGGAAGGCCGAAGTGATGCTGGCAGTAGAAGTCTTTGTTCTCTATTTGCTGCTGGTGGGTTATCTTGCCTTGTTTCTGGGTGAAATCCTGCCTTTTTGCTGTCCTTGCTTATCTCAAGACTTACTCTTAAATTTTGACACTTTTAAAACACTCGGAGAAGATGTAAGTGGGTTTCTTCACTTTATAATACATCCTCTAGTGGGTCATTTTAGAGAGAAGTTCCAGGGTACAGAATTTTAATACTCTTAAGAGCTGATGGGTTCATTTAGTTAAAAAAAAAAAAAATTCCATGCTGTAGCTGTAGAAAAGAGGGCAGAGTTGATGAATCAATTCTTCTTTCTCACTTGGGTGAAAAATGTGGCAGCTGCCCTAGTTTCAGAAACACCATCAAATTTGTATCCTCTTGACTTTGTGCTCTTAGGCAAGACCCAGACACACTTAAAATGACAAATTGCAAGTGAAAAATGGGGAAACCCCGTGAGAAAGAGACACCATTAATGTGACTGAAAGATCTGAAGTCTGTTCAGACCATCCCAAGTGATGCTAATTGGAGAATTTCTTTATTGCTCGTTTTAGAGAACTTTTAACAAAATTGAGTAGGTGATCGATACACGACTTGGAAATCTTACGTACAGAGAACAAAGTCAGGAAGTCGCAGGCTCACGGGGCAGGAGGTTTTATTGATTGCTGTAGTGCAGGATAATCATTGCTCTGTAGCCAGAGATAGCAGCTCATTCCAGAGGGAATCGTGGAATGTGTTTTTGCACAAGGATTCTTGGTGGTGTGGTTTTCTGTCTTGCAGAGCTCGTCACACGGTATATCCCACAGCTGTACCTGGTTGATCTTTGTCATGGTTAAACTTGAAAGGCGTCCCAGATTATTTAACACAAGTGAAAGTGGTCCATGACACCTCATGTATTTGTTTGAGATGCTGTGTGGTGATAGAGATTTTCTCACTGATCCCAGGAATCACGGGGTGGAAAAAAGCAGGAACATGGCAGGTGGAGCCAGAGATGGGGGTTCTTGTCTGCCATTTCCTATAGGGACCTGGGTGAGACCTCTCCATCTTCTCATCTTTGAAATGAGAGGTGATAGTGTATAATCTCTAAAGAGTTTCGCAGCATGACCTGCCTTGGTTTGTGATCCTCGGGAAGGAGAGGAAGAGGCCACCAGTTTTCCTATTGGGTGCACAAAGAGTGGAGTTTGCTTTGGGATTAGAATCGGGGGAATTCCAGCCTGGGAGTCTGTGCAAAGCACAGAAGTCAGGTTTCTTTGTGACTTTGGGGCCAGTGATGTTTCTGTGGATCAGGAAGCAAACTTGGTGGGGAAATCGTGATGAGCGTTTGAGTCCTTTGTTGCCTGTCATGGATAGAGTTTCACTCGATACAGAATTGTAGACTGCTTCCTCTTTGGAACCCTGAGATCTGGGAGCACTCAGTTTCTGAGAGACTAGTCAGAACTTGGATGTCAGTTTCAACATACCGTTGGATCAAGCAAGAGGACGGGAGTTTTGGGTGATTTTATTAAAGGGGAAGGGAGAGGACTGCCTTCTCTGGTCACATGTCGGGTGCAGGGCCCCAGTCTTTCAGGTCATTTTGGGATTCTTCAAGTAGCTTTCTGTCTTCTGAAGTCATTGCCCTGATACAGGGTCATTTTTAAGATTTTAGATGATCTTTTACCGAGCATGTGGCATCTTTTGCAGTCCTCTATGTTCCTGCCTTGCTCTTTTTGTTTGTTTGTTTTAAGTGTATTTATTTATTTAATTTGGCTGCCTTGGGTCTTAGTTGTGGCATGCGACATTTTGTTGAGTCATATGGGCACTTCATCAAGTTGCACAGACTTTCTAAGTTGTGACGTGTGGGCTTAGTAGGTGGAAATCTTGTGTACAGAGAACCAAGTACACCCCACAGCCATACCTGGTTGATCATACAGGCTTAGTTGCTCCATGGCATTTGGGATCTTAGTTCCCTGACCAGGGATTGAGCCAGAGTCCCCTGCACTGCAGGGCAGATTCTGGACCTCTGGTCTGCCAGGGAAGTCCCTGCCTTGTCCTTTTACATGAAATTAATCTTTGAATCAGTGCAGGCCATCATCACTCTGTTGATGTCAGGAGGAAGGAAACAGCATGGTAGCAGCTCCATGGCAGTTTGTTAAGAGAGTTCCTTTAATAAAGACATGTTCAGAGAGACTTGGATTTAATGACCCACTGGCCATTCCAAGAGCAGTGTTCCTGCTCCAGAGCTAATCACCACTAATCTTTCATATTAAAAGTATTAAAGAGCACAGTACATTAAAGCCTTACTAAGTGCAGTGGAGGATGATAGCTCTTAATACCGGAGCAAAATGTAAAGCATTTCAGCTTGCTGAATCAATATAGCTCGATTTATTCATAAGCACGTTCACGCTTGCAAAGGGCAGCTGCCAAATAATTATTGTTTATGGTGATAATGTAAGGAAATCGTTTAGCCCAATGACTGTTTCACTGTTATTTGTTCAGAAGTAACAACATTGCCTCTTAACGTCTGGGCTTGGGGAGCTTTGGCATCCTGGCAGGTACCCACAGAATCCCGGAAAGGAATGCTCCTGTGAGATTCCAGGTAAACACATGCGAGAATGCCCATCCAAATAACGCCTACCCTCCCAGCCCCTGGCTTGTACATCGAGAGGTATTATATTTATGTGCGCTTTCTACTGTTTCAAGGAAAGTATTGGAATTCTGGTGCCTTAGGATTCATGCCACTAATTTTTATTTTCCCCATTATTAAAATTTCCATAATTTGAATTGCAAACTCTGCAGTCTTGCCAGAATGACTCTCTTTGCCATTCGAGGTTGAATCAAAATGACTGGAGTTAGTTAGTAGGTAACTTATTTGAATACAGGGATGTTTATTCATGAAGTGTTGGGAGAAAGTGTGACTGTGCCCTTCTGTTAGGTTGTGGGACTGGATCCTGCTTGGTTGTGAAGCTGGTGCTGGACTATTTGGGGGAATTATTGTTTTTGCTATAGTTGATTGTGAAATAAGAGATGTGACCATTGGTACACAAGACCCTAACGTGAGCGGGTGACAGAACTTACCAGTCTGTAACCCTTCTCTAACTGTGGACTCAAACAAGAGTTTGTTTGTGTTACATGAGACAATCAGCATTTAAAATTTCTAGTTTTAAAAAAAATTTAATGACATTTTAGTAATACTAGCAAAACCTAAACAATCACATTGTTGTCATTGGCTGTCTAATATTGTACCTGGAATTTGATTTGTACACTAATAAGAAAATTAAATATATATACTATAAACTCAAAGAGAAAAGGTAAATCTAAGTGGACTCTTGGAGTTGACTAAATGTTAGACGGTTTAATGTGAAAAATTCAAGAAAATTATTATTAGGAAAAGTGGTGGATTTGGCTTTCTGAGATTTTTAAGAAGAGGATAGAAAACTTCTGTCCAGACTGTTTTCCATTTTGTCATTTTTGGAGGCAAATAAACGAAGAGATCTGTTCTGGAGCTTCCTTGCCAAATGGTAATCGTGAGATTATGTAAAGTTATGTAAATTGTATCAGATGCTATTTGGGTTTTCCTGCACCATGGGAAAATTGTAAGCACAGAGCGGGACTATGAGATTTTCCTTTTTGGTGTTAGTCATAAATGTGTTTATTTTCTTTTGCTTCCTAACCCTGCAGCATATGTACTTTAAATCAGGCCAGTGTTTAATTCTGTGTGGAAGTGAGGGTGAGTTAGTCCTGTGGGTTTCCTTGCCCTGTTGTCTGGTCCCTCTTCTGCATGGTTAATGCTGTCGGAGTCCCAAGCCCACCCATCAGCTCTCTTCCTTGTTCCCTAGTGCCCATCCAGGGATCTTGACCTCTGGTGGCTCCCAGCTGGGCTGTGGTCCCTTGTGGGGGCTCTCAGCTCTCACTGGCCCCTGTTCCTGCTGTGGGCAGACCGTTTACTACCATGACCCTAACATAGAGCCTGTAAGGGAAGCCTCCACTCACCTTCAAACAGGGTTGTCCCCCTTGGCACAGCCCTGGGACTGCTGTTCTCCCCAGCCCTGACACTGACTAGTGAACCTCCCTGCTCTCTGACCCTGAGCCAGGAGCCCGCAGTGTAATCTGTCCAGGAGCCCTCAGTGTCCTCTGTCCAGGGGCCCTCAGTATCCTCTGTCCAGGGGCCCTCAGTGTAATCTGTCCAGGGGCCCTCAGTGTAATCTGTCCAGGGGCCCTCAGTGTAATCTGTCCAGGGGCCCTCAGTGTAATCTGTCCAGGAGCCCTCAGTGTCCGCTGTCCAGGAGCCCTCAGTGTAATCTGTCCTGGGGCCCTCAGTGTCCTCTGTCCAGGGGCCCTCAGTATCCTCTGTCCAGGGGCCCTCAGTGTAATCTGTCCAGGGCCCTCAGTGTAATCTGTCCAGGAGCCCTCAGTATCCTCTGTCCAGGGGCCCTCAGTGTAATCTGTCCAGGAGCCCTCAGTATCCTCTATCCAGGGGCCCTCAGTATCCTCTGTCCAGGGGCCCCCAGTGTAATCTGTCCAGAGGCCCTCAGTGTAATCTGTCCAGAGGCCCTCAGTGTCCGCTGTCCAGGAGCTCTCAGTGTAATCTGTCCTGGGGCCCTCAGTGTAATCTGTCCAGAGGCCCTCAGTGTCCGCTGTCCAGGAGCCCTCAGTTTAATCTGTCCTGGGGCCCTCAGTGTAATCTGTCCAGAGGCCCTCAGTGTCCGCTGTCCAGGAGCTCTCAGTGTAATCTGTC